GGAGTTCAAGACCAGCCTGAGCAAGAGTGAGACCCCGTCTCTACTAAAAATAGAAAGAAATTAGCTGGACAACTAAAAATATACAGAAAATATATATTCTGCTGGGTGTGGTGGCGCATGCCTGCAGTCCCAGCTACTCGGGAGGCTGAAGCAGGAGGATCGCTTGAGCCCAGGAGTTTGACGTTGCTGTGAGCTAGGCTGATGCCACGGCACTCTAGCCCGGGCAACAGAGCGAGACTCTGTCTCAAAAAAAAAAAAAAAAAGAATTCCAAGATTTAGAAAGCAGAAAGTTATAGGGAGGGTGGGACCCTTCTAAGTGTGGGTTCATGAACCTGACCTTGATCTTGCTACAGCAGGGCCTGGCACACAGTAGGTGCTCAATAAATGTGTTGAACAAATTAAAGAAGTACGGACTTGAAAATAAAAATGAGAGAGAGAGAGAGAGTCTGACATTCCAGGAAGTACTGAGGTCTTGGAGTCTATGACTCTCTACCAACCCCAATCTTCCACTTGTGGGATTTTCCTGAAACCAGCAATGAGGCCAGAGGTTGGGGGCATCCGGAGAGCAGGTGCAAAGCTCCCCCAGCTCCTAGTTTAGGGATGGAACACTGAGCCCCAGAGATGGCCCAAGAGGACTCGGGAAGCAAGCAGGGCCACCAGTTGGGGCACTAAAGAGCCCGTGTTAGGGACAAAGGAAGGAGCAGCGAGTGGCCCCCCAGCTGGGGAAATGATCTGAGCAGGGGTGTGGCAGCTGCCTAGCAGGGAGGGAAGGAAAGGTCTGTGGGAGACACGCAGAGGCAGGGCCCCGCAGTCAGGGGTGTTTGCTATCTTCCCTTGGGGTTGCTGAACAAAAGCTGAACTTGACTCCCAGCTGTCTGCCTGGAAATCTGAGAAGGGCAGGTGGAGGGGGGACGGCCAGGTGCCTGGGGAGGGGAGGGGGGAGGACAATCTCCCTGCCCCCCGACACACACAGGCCTCCCGTCTGCTGCTGCGACATCTCCAGCCCAGCCTGGCCCGACCCCAGCTCCCCAACCCTCCGAGACCCTCGCACCTGTGTTGAGGTTTAACACCTGCCCCACCCCAAACATTTCAAAACACACCCATGTCCCAAAGGAGGTGTCTTTTTAAGCTGCACACACTGTCTGAAAGATGTGATTGAAATAGGTTTGCTTTCGAGATTAAACAATTACACGGTGTGGTTTACCACCAGCTACCAGCTCTCAAGAATTCTTGGGGAGCCACGTGAATAATACGCACTCGATCCTTGAACAATACGGGTTTGAGCTGCCCGGATTTCCTTCCGCCTCCGCCAGGCCTCAGACAGCAAGACCCACCCTCCTCTTCCTCATCCTCCTCCTCTTCCTCCTCCCCTTCCTCCGCATGGAGGAGACGAGGACAGAGACCTTTAGGACCATCCACGCCCACTTCATGAACAGAAAATCTATTTTCTCTTTCTCATGATTTTCTTAATAACATCTTCTTTTCTCCAACTTACTGTATTGTAAGAGCTCAGCAGATACACACACAGCAAGCAAATCCCTGCTCACTGACTGTTTATGTTGTCAGTGAGGCTCCCGGTCACCGGGAGGCTGTTAGTAGTTAAGTTTGGGGGCGGTCACACGTTATACATGGATTTCTGGCTGTGCAGAGGGTCCGTGCTCCTAACCCCTGCATTGTTCAACGGTCAACTGTAATTGAGGGACGAAAAATTTTAGGAACACTCCACAGCGAATGAAGCTGATCTAACGCCACATTTGACAGGTCAATGAACCTTTTCTCCCTCCCTCTCTCCCTCCCTCTCTCCCTCCCTCTCTCTCTGTCTTCAGTCAATGTCCTCCCCTCCCACCTCCAGGCCGATCAAGTCCATAGTAACACAGCCCTGGGGGGAGGCAGCTGTATCACTTCCTAGCTGTGTGACCTTGAGCAAGTGTCTTAACCTCTCTGGGGTTCTTTTCCTCATCTGTAAAATGGGGATAATAAAAGCGCCTACCTCATAGCATTGTTGCGTTTTAAACAGCTGACAACCACAAAGCACATCGTAAACTCTTTATAGTGTCCAAAAAGAAATAAATGAAAATGAAATAAATAAAAAGGAATTCGATGGTGTTAAAT